TAACACGCGACAATTCATGATCACAAATAGAGTCTCAGTCGAGAGGTTGATTTCCAAAATTTCCCTCCATTCGCTGCAATTATGCGCGAAATTGAAACAATCATTCTCTATATACTCTTATTTCCAACAGAGACCGCCGCGTTCAATTATCAAATTGTATTTAATAGACTGGCATATGATCTCAAAATTTGATTTCTACTATTCGGGACGAGGCGTTTCTCGTGTTGACTGCAGATCAGCGGGAGATCGATCTGATTTTTCGATGGGATCTCGCGGCGATCGCGCGGCAAGGGACGCACGAGAGACCTCAGGAGAATTAATTAAATTATTACTATTGAGTGTGAGATATCGATCGAGAGGTCGAATTGTAAATTCTTCAGACAGTGGAGGGGAATTTTTAATTTACGCATGGAAAATTGTTTTTTTTTCTGCCACATCCGTACGCCAGTTCTCAAAAGTGTCCAATAAATAACACTGAAAATTGCCCAGCCTTTGGGGAACACAGGGCAGATGTTCCCCACACTGTTGCTCGGCCATGTGAAGTTTTAGGCCAAGCAAATCTCACTGCGGCAAAATTGCCTTTTTGTCATAAATTCATGCGCGCTGACCGCCTGAAGATCACCCACAACTCCACTGTGAATTATTGCATATGGCGCGATGGGGAAAAAAGTGCCGTCTCTCCCGGAAATGGGCAGGAGGGCAGTGGACAAAAAGGCTGGTGAAGTCGACGCGTATCTTTAAAAATAAATAAATTTATTAGAAACAATGGCGAGAATCGTAAAAGCGATTCGCGACGCATTTCACTTGAGCGCTGCCGAGGGCAGTTCTATGCTGAAGATGATCCGTGCCAATGCGGGATCACTTGCACAACAAAAAGCTGGCAATTTTCTTTTCAATTCCAATTTTTCAAGCTTCAGACTTGAGCCGCGCTGCAGTGAGATGAATTTTAATGAGTTTCACTCCTCAATCTCTCACCCTGTGTGAAGAGGATTCACTCTCAAGGAGGCTCGCAACACAATGGGACGATTGTTCTCCCAGGGATTTTTGTCAATCACAATTCGCCACATGTGAAATTGATTCCCAATATAGAGATCAGTCCTGTGACGCTCCATGTGATCTATTGTGACGGTGGATCGAGGGGTAATTCATAATATTGATTATTAAATAAAAGTAAGATGAAAAATGCCCGGCAAAAGGTGGATGAGATCCGAGAAGTGGATACGAGAATTGAATAACGATGGAAAGAAAGGCGCCATCAACTTTTCTGACAGGTCATTAAAACCAGAAATCGTCAGCTGCGAACAAAAGACAATGTAACAATTTTTCTTGTGGTCCCGGCTTCGGAGTCACCATTAGATTGAACAATTTTTGACCACTCCGAGAGGTGAGGAGAAGATGAAAAAATCCCGTGGTCGCCTTCCTTTATATTCCCTGATTGTGGACTCTGAGCCTCGTTCGCCGCCCTGTGTCGAGAAATCATCACACGCCAATAAATCATCGTGGAAAAAGAGTTCGCCTCATTTGGCCATTGGCTGGAGAGGTGATCATGAGACTGTGGGATTGGAGAAGCCGCGCTTCGGGTAATTTGGAAGTTACAACCAAGGATATTCTCTGCTCAGATTAGTTTTCTGATGATTTTGACATTCTTTGAGCCTTTGCAGATTAGCGATTTCGCAAATGCGATCAAAATTCCATGTCCTCAGAGGATTGCGGAAGAACGGTGATGCGAAGAAGACGCTAAGAAGATTCCCTTGACCGAGTGTATTGGCAAGTATTACGCAATGAGGTGAAAAATCAACAACCCCTGAGGCAAACTTTACCTCTCTTCGTGTAATTTCTCGTGTAATTTATGTGCAGTTGAACTTGTGGCGATCATTAAATCAGCGTAATATCGCTGGAGATAAAAATTGCTGGTCCACCGCCAGTGTCCGGCGGCCAGCCACCGCGAGGGACAATCGGGCGTTCAGTTACATTCGCCCATCGCCGATGAATTCATTAAAAATTCACCACACGTTGATTCGGGGCACATTATCTCTCGCCCAGCTCTCCCCAATGCCAATGTGTTAATAGGATCAATTGCAGTCATTTTCATACACATCAGCCGTGAATCTCGGCGGATTCCCGACCGTGAGTACTTTTCACACCTCAGCCCCATCGCTTTGCGCTCATGCCCAGATTTTCAGGTGTTTGTGTTGTGAATTTATTAACTCTCGAGGAGAGTGAGCCGCAGCGCCCTGAGAAATTCGGTAATTTATAGGTTTATTCAACTCTGAATCTCCTTCCTTGTGACTTGGCAAACATCCCAGAGTTGATGAGGGCGCGCTACTGAGGGGTGCGGGAAATCTCGAAGTGTGTTCCAGTCAAAAACGCTGCGACTTGAAGACTCCCCGATACAATGTCTCACTGTCGCGTCACTTGGCGGCGAAATCAAGCGCCTTCGAGAGTGCCTCAAGGATGGAAGATTGAGCCAGAAGAGGTGGAGAAACTGTGGCAACTGTAGGAAATTTTCAATTGTCATCGTCAATTCACTCCGGAGTCGCTCCTCTTGTCCAATTTCCATCCACATCCCCGCGCTCACGAGGCCACGGAGGCATCACAATAAAAAAGTCCAAATTCATCATCGATTAATGATGTAATTACGCTGTCACCCTTTAGAATTGACAGAAAACGAAGGCCGGAATAAATATTAATAGTATGTGGCCTCATGGAAGCGGGGCAAAAATCACAGAATAATGACAATGCAGATAATGGAGCAGCATCCGAGATCGTTCGCCGTCTTCAGATGTCATTAAGATTCCCGGCACCATTTTTATATCACGCCGAAGCTAATGGAATCGTCAATTAAGGCCGCAAAAGGAGGTGTGATGCGATGTGACGACGCTCTCAATTCGGCCCCGACGTGGAGGCAAAGAGAAGAATGCCCACTTCAGCGAGAGGGATCATGAGACACTCTAAGAAATCATCCAACATCGACGCTATCAGTGTTAATCTGTAGCTGGACCCATTGTGAGGCCTCCACTCGCTGGCCAATGCTTAATCTCTCTTGCGTGTGTTGACTTGTAGTCTGACAAAATGCGAAATTAATTTCGTGTACAAAATTCACAGGGTTTTTTTTTCACAAGAGATGGTATATTAATTCGTGAATATCTGTTTAACAAGATATTTAATGCAAAGAATTTATATAGACTCCCAGACACTTCTTGTGAGGTCGAGTTTTGTAATCATTCCATTTTGAGAACACAAAAATTCTTTGTAAAAATATGCTGAAAAGCAATTTAAAGTCGAGGAAGACAATAAAAATTATATTAATATACTGCAACTGAATTTGACTAAGATTTTTCGAATTTAATATGTAATGCAGTAGAAAATATCTCTTGAAATTTCAAGTTAAATAAATGATTTGCAAGGATTTTATATGAGTTACCGTGTTTGTAAGGTTGAAGGGCGTTTTAAAGTTTATGTTCCTAGTCGTAATATACAAAGTCTTGAAGAAGGTTAGGTAAGAGAACCCAATGGAACCACGAAAAGACTCCATATTGAGCATCTCGGCTGGCCTTACCTCTAATCCAGGTCTGACGCAGAGGAACGGGAAACTGGAGAGAACCCAAAGAACCACGGAATTCTCAGTGAGTGGGGAAGGAATTACTTAAAGTGCGCCACATGTGGCTCTTTTTCTCGATTCAATCAACCTGCAAGACGACAAAAAAGCACGTGCTACATGTAGAAAAAAGCTCTGGGAGAGAAAGAGTCCCAAAAATGAGAATTAAAGACCGTGAGTCACGCCATAGAAATGGCCAAGATGTGTTTTTTTTTCGTCAGCAATCTGACGCTTTGCGGTGAAATTCACCCATTAATCGATCATTAAGACGGTGTAATTGGAGTGTTGGCAAAAATAGCCCCAAGTGGCAGATTTATCCAATGCCCCATAATTCATCTCTGGGCAGCATCTTGGGAAATTGCTCTGCCCTCCCGCGCGCTCACGTCGATATTTTATATGCAAATTTTGTCAGATGATCTCCAGCCATTTTCCGGGGTTTCTCGCTTTTTTCGCAGGCGCTTTGAAAAAGTTTCCCGGGAGAGAGAGGAAATTTGCGACTTCGGGCAGCATAATTAGTCCACACAGAGTGTGCAAGAGATGAAATGGCCAGCCACCTGCTACCTCAAGTACTTCCTCCAGAATATCTCAGCCCGCGGGGAGGGGTTGGGGGGTGGCGGGCGAGGAAAGAAAACTTGCTAATTAGAGACACGATCCGTTGCCATAGGAGACCACGGCTCCATGTATATATTGCAAAATTTATGGCGCAGTCGCTATTTTTATGCGAAATATCCCTGGGAAGGAGAACTTCGGTGGCCTCAGAAACACTCCCACCCCATCGAGGTGCAGCCACTCGCTGAAAAATTGGTCATTAGAGGCTCGAAAGTCTTGATTAATTGGGCTGAGCTCCACCATGATGATTGCCGCGAGAGTGGGTGAGATGGGTGGTGGCCAAAATAGCGCGTCTGCAAAGTTTCAAGTGCTCTAAAGAGCCAAGGCTCGGTTGTTGACTCCAGAGCCGCAATTAATACATCAGCATACAGAGAGTGAGGATTAACACCCAGCAAATTCACTGGCGTGACAATAATTGTGTCTGCCGCTCCACCAATTAATATTCATCTCGGCCGAGCGCCACGAGGTTGGGGGCAAGGAAAAAAGCCACTCTCCTGGAAATTTATGCTAATTCCACGTCATTTTCTGAGTTATACTGCGCCTCAAAAACTAGACCAATTTAATGGGGCTTCGGAGGTGAAATTGGAATTGGTGCATCTCGCGATGATGCTAATGATGGCCACAGAATGCGCCAAAGTGCAATTTTCACCAGACGAGACGACTTTTTGTCCCACACAGAGCAAAAATCCACATTTCCGTCCTCCTCAGCCATCCACCCCTCAGGGTTGCAATGTTTCACGCAACTTCGCGAATGCCTTGAAACATTTCGTGGTGTGCAACAAAAGAATCCTTGGGGCTCAACCGGGAGTTGAACCCGGGACCTCTCGCACCCTAAGCGAGAATCATACCGCTAGACCATTGAGCCGATGTGTATGAAGCATATTTTCAAAAATTTTGAGTCACGCGTTTTGGTTTTGTGAGCTACATTCACTTTTACTCGCGCTGTTTGCCACACTTGCACATTTTAAATGGGCTGAGTGTGGTGTTTACATGTGGAGAAATTTATCAATCACCTGGTAAGTCAATGAAGTGCTTGACTGCTTTTCATCAATGGCAGTGAGTGATTAGTGTAGTTTTCGGTCAAAATTAACACTTGGATGTTCAATGTCCACCGGCCATTCAAGAAGAGGATTTTAATAAACCAGTGAACAATTATATTAAAGGTTAATGTGTAAAACAGCGTTCTTAGTCTAATTGGATATACTAATCCAAAGAAAACTTATAAATTGACCAACATTTCGCTACTCAAATGGCAAAAACTCGGGCAAGAGTTATTATTACTGAGTGAAACTTTCCTAAAATTTCAACAAGTGCATAATAACTTCTTGTGCGGGTGAAGCTAGACAACTGCCTAATGATCTACTTGCCTCTAGAGAAACGCGGCAAATTGCGAGGAATTTCCATATCATTTTTGGCAAAAATTCCGAGAATCCCCGGCCGAATTTCTGGTTGACCCTCTGGGCGTGTCGAGACACCCATTGCGGAATGATTGATTGAATTGTGGCGCAAAATTTGCGCGGTGTAATTGAATAATTATTCCATTAGTGATTGAACATCTCTGCTGTGCTGTGATTAACTTGGGACAAGAAACCCCGTGTGCAGAAGAGATTGAGAGAGTGTGCTGCGCCCGAGGGTGAGAACGCGTCGTCAATGAGCAATTTGCAAATACTCCACATTGAGTGGACACTCCTCTCACCTCTCGTCCTGTCCATAATGATACATTGTCGCGATCGCGATCGCCATGCAATAGAGCCATTCGCAATGATGAGCGATGGGCCAATCGCCTGACATAATAACAGCAATTGATACCCGTGTCGTTCCATATTAACGCCCAGGAATTTCTCTGGGGCCACGGAGCCTCATTTGGGACTCTTGGGGAGTCTCTCGTGGCTCAATGGTCTAGAGGTATGATTCTCGCTTTGGGTGCGAGAGGTCCCGGGTTCAATTCCCGGTTGAGCCCCAACTTTTGGGATGTCCGCCAAGGCGCCGCTCTACGTGTGCGCGGAGTGTCCTTATTTTGCGGGCAGATGTTCGCACAGTCTGCACAGAGAGCCCTTTTTGCGCCAACGCAGCTTAATTGCAAAGTGTCTCGTGAGCGGGAATTAAAAATATACCCGCCAGTGCCATAAAGCAAATCCACTGTTCGAGTCGGAGAATCCCCGAAAGCGAAGACATACAAGAAGTACGGTCAGTGTGTGGTGAGAGGGACAAAATGACGAAGAACAACACGCGAGTGGCATCTTATCAACTTACAAGATCTCTCAAGTGTTGAGCCCACGAGATACAACCGTAAAATAACCAATTTTTGATGTAGTAATGACCACGTTTCCCTCTTGTCAGTGTTCTTCGCCGTGCTCCTCGCCGCCGTTCCCGTGTCTCCGGGGCCAAGATTGTGTTTTGACATTCCATCGGAAAGGCATAAAAAGCGCGACAAGATCGCATCGCGGCTTTCGGGGTTGGATTTGCCGATTAGGATCACGAGGGTGTGTGAAGGTGAAGCGGCAATTCTCCTTGTCCTTCCCACCCCGCTGAATTTTTTTTTCAGCAAAAGCCGAAAGACTCCTTGTTCGTGGGCCGAAGACAAGTGGTGTGTGCAAGAAGCGTAAAATTTCCACGGACCGCACACGAAAAGAGGGAGAGAAAATTGCCATGCAGAGGGGAATTATTCGGAAAATTAAAAAGATATTATTATTGCTTATAAACATTCAAGTGCCACTTGCTATGTCAAATTGGAATCACTTTCCATTTTTTTCTGCCCATTCTCAACAGTCAGAGATTGACAAGATTGGAGATATATAGTAAAACCTCTTAACTCGTGGCTTTTTTGTCGTCACTCAAATTGGATGACAAAAATAGGTATGGTTAGAGAATATCTTGTGACTTTATCGTTGTGGTCTTTTGTCACCTCTCTAATTGCCTGTCTATCTCTTTTAGTCATCAATTGTCATTCACTTCAATCCTGAGCCGCTCCCTCGTCCTCTTGAGACGTGACATTAAACCGTGTCACTCACAATCACTGCATTAAGATTGCTTGTATTTTGGGATCACAAGAGACACGCTCTGAGATCTCGCTGCGGCATCTCTTCGTCGTGTGAGACTCTCAATTGTCCACCAAAAAGTCCCCAAAGTCCCCCATTTAGCGAATTAATTGTGTCGCTCGGTGTGTTTGGGAATCAATGAGTGCCACACATGTTTCCATCATCGCAGCGTCTGTAAATATTTATTTTTCTGGCGTCGAACTGCTTCTTCAGAAAATATTGTCTACATAGCAAACATTTAGAACATTTACAAGTCTCTTCTGTCGTCCAATTCTGCTTCCCGTCCGTTCTTCATCGCTCCCTCGCCCGAACGCAAAGTCGTGATCTTTTGATGGTGTGGAAACGAACCGCCACCCACCGCCCGACTTTTCCTTCCTCCATTATTGATGGTCAGACAAACAATCGGTAATCGAGGCGGTAATAGAATTTTTTCTCGGAAAAGCAGGATTATTGTTTTTCGTGGAAATATGTCTGTGCCGTGAGTGTCGCGTGTCCACCGCACGAAATGTCCATCAAGCTGTCCGCGCGGTCTTAAATGTCACGGTGTCCCGCGGAAAGGTGAAAGGCAATTTCACCGGCCGATGGGAACTCCGCCGCACTCTGACTGTGACAGGATGGAAAACAATAAATAAAAAAACCACCAAGAATTGATACTTCGCGGATTTCGTCTTTGCTCCGCAGGTCCGCGTCCTGCTTTCTCACGTAATTTTCCAGGGAAAAATGATTATATATGAAGACACTTACTGAAACGAAAAAGAAGAACAACGCACATCACCACTCACGACACTGTCACTCTGGACGACCAAACAAGAAGAAGTGATTAAAATTTTCAATCGGAGAAATGCGGGATGCAAGCGGCAATCATTTATATCATTTCTATCATTGATGATTAGCCGCTTCTATATGACACAGACTGTGTCATATTTATTTGTCCACAATGCGCCCGTAACATTCTCCCTCCGATTGCCAAAGAAAAAAAACAAATAAAAAAAAGAAAATTCCTTTTCCTGTCCCTCTCAACACTCGGAAAGTTATCTCTCCTTATACAACAATCAACACCATTCAATTTTATATTCTCGCTCGATGAGCATAATTTCGCCACCACTGCTGATTGACTCTTCACCTAGGCCTTCCCCACAATGCACCATTATATCTCCGCAAACTCGACTACTTCATCCCTACAAGAAATTTACCCGCTATTGCAGCGTTACGGAAAACCTCTGTGCTTACAAAGTAAGGTAGAGAGAGACCCTGACGGGGAAGAGAGAGACCCTTAAAGACACGGACGCTTCCAATAAACTACAATTTGTAGCGACTCATTGACGTCGCATCCGCGCATAAAGTCTAAAGTTTGCGAAAAAAATGTGGCTGCAAAAGTGAGTGAGCTTCGGCGAAGGCTCTGCCACCAGATGGTTTATCCCTCATGATTTCGGTCCCAGATATCTCACTAAAATCTCTAGACTATTCTCCTACATGCCTCATCGACAATAAAGGAGGCAACATTGTGAAAACTCCCGTCTCTCCGATAAGATTCAGCGCATTAATTCCCGCATGAAAAGAGAGGACAAGACAGGAACTTCCCAAGTCAACCTCAAAAGATCGCACGAGCCATACAAGATTTTCACTCACATAGCTATAGCTAAACGCGAGTGGTCCACTGGAGCACAATTCCCCTGCAAGAACAACGATTGTTGTTTCTCCCTACAAAAGAATTATCATCCCAATCAGCGAAAGTCATTCGACCACTCCACTAAATTAGGCTCTCCTGAGACTATTAAGCGATCCATCCGCAACTTCTTCACGAAAGTATTTCAATATTTTCCCCTTTACTCTACTAGGCGACTTATTTTGTTACATGATTGTGGAAAATACATGCATTTAAGACTGGAAGCGACTCATCAGCAATTTAGGCTTCCTCACCATCATCCCCTCCTCAGGAAAAAAAAACACTAAAAAAAAAATGCTTAAACATCCCTTACTTGCATCCGAAAGAACAACGATCTCCGACAGACAAAATCCACAACATTAAACTTCTCTGGACGTGTTCTCAAATTATATCTTTCTCCAGATTTTTTTGTGGGAACTTTGAAGCTTCCTTTTAGCGTCCTCACGGGACAATTTCAACACCTTGAGCCGTTCCTCAAGTGAAACCGGCTCATTAGCATCCTCGAGCGCATATTCCTCAGGGAATTCAATGAATTTCTCTGATTAAAATCATCCAATTTATCGCTCAAACGAGTCATCACCGTGGTCAACTTGCCGACAATTTTATCATAAGTACTGAAAATCTGCTTTAAATCAGGTTGATTTTGCAACCCGATCGCGGCTGGTGATTGACTCACACTCAATTGATTGGGAAATTGATTCAAAAATAGGGGCTGAGTGCCCATATTCGCAGTATTAGGCGCACTCGGCGTGGCAAATGCATTAAAATTCCCAGCAGTTGTATTTATAATGTTCGCGCTGAGAGCTGAAAACGGCGAACACACTGTGTTAACAGTGTAAACTACATTGGTGGAGGCAATCGGAGCATTCGAATATATTGACTGTGCCGGCTGTGCAAAAAAATCGATCTGAGACGCCACTGTCTTATCAATTGTGGTATAAGCAAATGTGGAATTCAACACAGAGGAATGACGAATTGCACCAGCGGCTCCGTTAAGCGGATTATCCGGCTGTGTCCGTGGTGGTGCCGTAAAATTATCACGCAAAATTTTTTCAGCTGTGTGAAGCACTTTCAACATTTTATTGGCGCTCGTTCTCTTCGGATCTCGAGCATCTGATGTGAATGTGAGTTTATTCTCCATATGTTTTAACTGCGCCGTAT